AATTATAGCAAAAAAAGTATGATATTCGAATTCAGCATTGGAGAAAAATAAAATCAGTAATGGTCAACTTTGACGCCCCTGTGATTAGGGTTGCCACCCGTACTTAATAAAGTATTGTACTCTATTTCGACTGTACGTACGTTACACTTTACAAGTCACATAAAGTACGCAAAAATACTTTATTTAAGGCCTTAAGTAAACATCGTAATTTTGTAAGCGATTATTCGAAATTCAGAGTATTTTTACATCAATAATATTGCACAGAAAAATGGTAAGCCATATTTACGGAACAACCTGATTTCCCAAATCTGTTCAAAGTAGTGTCACTTTTGCTGTCCGTTCCGGCCACTTCAGCATTTACAGAAAGAGTATTCTCTGTTATGAACGCAAAGTGGCGGGACGACAGGAATAAAGCTTCATTAAAACTAATTAAAAATGAACTTTTAGTTTACTTAAATCTTTGTTTGCCATGTTTAGAGGCTATTAATGTATTTAAGAGCGACAGCAATTTGTTACTGGCTGCTAGGCGTAACAAAAAATATGTTTTTAAAAACAAAAAGTAAAATACTTTGTTTTTATGCTGAGTACTTTTTTTTTAACCTTTTAGTCGAGAAATACTTTATGTAAAGCCTGAAAAGGTGGCAACCCTAGCTGCGATCCCCTTGAATTACTACTCGGTGACACTGCAATAACCTTAGATGATAACACGAATGACAAATTCTTTTCTTTCTCGTTTCATAAAAATAGGAATGGACCGGGGATCCGGTGGAGGTCGGCTACCCGGCGAAAAAATTCAAGCTTTAATTTGCAATTTCGTTTTTAGTTTTTGTTTATTTTCAGTTTCCCAGTTAACAACTGACGAGTCCGAAAATGACTAGGAGAAGAACACTGATGCTAGTAAACGAAACGTTGGCAAATAATTTACTTCAATCAGGAAAATTCAGTTGTACGTCTAACTACTCAACTAATTTCCAGTATTATTGTGTACGTATTACAACGGTTACAATACGTGACAAACTGTACAACACAACACGTATAGGAGCCAAACTGTCTGCGAAATCATTGTTCTCTGTCGGCTAAAAACACACGTATGTGTGCGCGTTCGTATGTGTGTATGCAGGTATAGGTCAATAGCGGCACATCTATCATGCATATACTATAATTCCTAGAACGTTGCGCAATCAAGAGCGTAATTAAATGTAAATTTATTCTCATATCTGCAATTAAGTCACCCAGTTTTTACTACACAATAGCGTATGAAGTGTTATTGTTAAGGACATGAAAATTATATATTTTTTCATTTCTAATTAATCGTAAGCTACACACGTGCTTACCTAAATATTAAAAATGTACAACACACATACATACACATACTTTAATAACGGCCCGTACAAATACAGTAGAATTCGCTTATAATGACATCGAAGGGAAATGACAAACGCCTCATACTAAGCGGGCGTCTTACAAAGCATAATCTTAGAAAATAAACTTTCTATTTTGGTTAGTTATTTAGTTTAATAAAGAAAAAAATTGCAAATTGTATATATTTATTAACATAAAAAGAAAAAGAACGATGAATTGTAATATCAATATACATAAGAAGGGTCAGAAAAATGAGTGAAATAGTACATTACGTATCGAGGGAAGAAACAGGGTTATCTCAGACTGCCTTCGGCTCGGGTGGCAATTCACAGGTACGTATATTATTTTTTGTCATGTTTGTGCGGAAAGCTCGTCATTAAATTGATAGTTGGTGGAATAAGAGTAAATGATTTAGAGGTTAGAAAGACATTGTCATTGAACAACTGATTTCTGCGCATGCCCATAAACTTCAACGCATGCGCAGAAAAGACTAATTTCATTCCCTCCCCACTAAAACACGGCTGAAAAGAGGCCATCTCTTCACTTTTTCATAGCATACAAAACGAGCTTTCCGCGCTAACATGACAAANAAAAAAGGAAATGAACTGTGATAGTCACTAATTTAATGAATGATTATACACTTGCACGGTCACCTACTTTTTTGGACAAAAAAAATCAAAAAATAAACCTTTTTGCACTTTTTTTTTCAGATTATTTCTTGAATTCCAACATTTCTCCTTTTTTTCCATTAATTACGAAAATTTTACTATTCGTATCATCATGACTTGTGTAAAGATTGCTCGCCTTGTGAATGTAAAAATTTATAACATATTGTCTGCATTTCATGAATCATACGAATACTAAGCACGAAGACAACTTTTCGTAAATTGAATTACTTCCGTTATTTACATAAATTAGACATCTTCATTTAAGACATTGAAATGAAGAAACCTATGAGGCACGCATGAAGGCAAGATTTACTGTATTACATGCAGCAATGTTTCTCATCATATTTAGATAAATTTTAACTCATGATATGATGGTAAATAATTGACGGTTAAAAAATTGATAGGTATATTTTTAAATAATTAATTAAAATTTTTTAATCGTACACATCATTTTGCTAAAATGCTTATTTCAAAGTATTTATAATGAATTGTATTTACAATTGTATGTAATATTTTATACAATTCATTATATATTGTTTGAAATAAATTAGCAAACTGTATACAATTAAAATATTTTAATCAATTATTTTCGTATTTATTAGTATTACTTTATACAATAACTACATACATATACAAAAAGAATTATTGTAGAATTATTGTTTAATATAAATTCCTTTTACATTTTAAGATATATTATGAAATTACATGAAATATTTTATACCTATGGTTTTAACAAAAAGAATATGACAATGATGAATATGTCTATTTTGGTATATCTTATTCACTGTTAACGTTTTTCTGTGTTCATTTTCTTTGAAGTGATATAAAATTGCCCAAATCTTCTGACAAAACTTACTCCATGTTTGACAATAATGTTAACATCTTCTCTTCAAATGCACTAGGATGTTGTGTTATTATTAATTTTTTCCTGGATGGTGGATTATATGTAATTGATAATATCCAGCTTCTCTGTTGAATCTATATTTGTTAGATCTTCATAGACTGAGTCTTGTTACATGAATTATTAGCTTGCATTAGTGATGCTTTTGAAAAACAATACTAACGTTTTAACAAAACTCCAGAGTCTTATGTTTAATAATAACTAAAAGAAAAGATTTTTTACTACATGAGGTTATTATGGAGACGATATATCTAATGTTTGTAGTTTGTAACTCACTTATCATTTTTTTAAACTGTAACTTATTGGATAACAACCGACACTTTTTAAATTTCTGTGACAACTTCTCGCGTTGAAGTGTAACCGAAAATTGATGACTGAAAAATAAAAGGTATGGCGACAGAAATCTTTTTGTCTTAATCTTATGAATATAGGGGGCTGTCTGTCGATTATTCAAAAGTTTTAATTTTATTTAATTTAACAAAAGTTTACAACAAATTTACAATTTATGTGATATAAATTTGGTGTAAAGATTCAGTAATTAAAATCACTTACTTTTTCTTCATAAATATTATGGCATATTGGTGCAATTTTGTGTAAAATCCTAATAATTCATTTTTTTGCATAAACTTTTGTTCATGTAATGTCCTCATCAAATTACAGATAATTTTGGTAAATGTATGAATGCATAAAATATCGTTCATATAACGTTAAATTGCGCTCATACTTATTTAGAAAGAAATTTAGTAAATGTGACAGCTATTTTACGTAAATAGTTTGTCGCAAAAAATCAACAACTGATTTACTGATTTTTAATTCCTAAATTTGATCATTTATTTACTAATATATTTTTTTATTCATTAAATGTACAACGTATGTTTCAAATTTGATCCAAATTTGTTTTCAAAATCGTCTGATCCATTCATGATCATCACGAGTGGCTATCGGGGTATGAATAAGTTTTAAAGAATGTAACATACTCATTTTGAGCTTTTCATCATCCGTAACGTATCGCCATCGGTGTTCGTTCATGAAACTAACAAAGATGGTGGGGGTTTCAAGTTGCATAGCAGCAGCTTACGCTTCAAGCTCGAAACGCATCAGAACTTTAGTTTTAGTTAGTGTGGTTAATCGGCTGCTTGCGTTAACACTGGAAAAGTTGGCGCGCATCGGTGCAAGCGTTTGAAATCCTTGACGTACGAACGTGCGGACTTGAGCGCTGATCGAGATCGAAGTTGGTAGAGAATCCTTTCTGAGAAAAGTTCTTCGGCTCGGAGGAACTTGATTTCCTCTTTCATTTTCTGCGTCGTATGACTCGCATAAAATTCCAAAATTTTCAAAAGGAAACAAACAAGTGTGAACGCGCATCAGCTGGTACCTGTGTTCGCGCAAGCGCTCCCCCCCGTTAACTGGAAGGGAGAACAGCTGAGCATTGGATACAAACTGAAAATACGAATTGCCTCTGGTTAGTTGCGTTGTTATCGTGGAAACGTTGACAGCGGTAATGCCAAGGATAGCTTGACGCTGTAAGCGCAGCGAGTACTTGGTTGCAGTCGTAGTGAATTTGCGGATTAATATTCAAGTGCGAACTGTTTTGATACCATGGTGCCACAACAAAGTTTGGACGACAGATCGGATAGTCCCACTGGCAGTGGGTTGCCGATTTTTGGATCGCAATTAATTGATCAAAATTCAGCTACTCCCTACTCTGACGCTACTCAGGTAGGTTTTGTTGAATTTTACCTGATTGGTCAAAGTGTGCAAGTGATAATTTGCTTAACGTCTTCTTCGGCTAGTTTTTGTGCAATGTAAAGTGTTTTGTGATAAAATTTTTAGGATTGCCAAAGTGTTACCTTCTGTGAGTACCCAACCAATCCTAAGTAACTCAACTTTTATCCTTTACTTGAAAACAGGACTTATCTGTCTACCAATCCACTTAACAATAATTTCGAAAATTATTGTTTACTGACACTGTAGAAGGCATTAATGTAATAAAATATTAAACAACAAATGTAATATTTATCATTTGGAATACTCGGTTTCACATATTTCCAATTCAGATATGAATTATTTTCGAAGATTCTCAGGAGACGGAAATGAGCATTGAGAGGATTCGGTCGTTCATCAATTGCAAATCTCCAGCACGACTTCTCTTCTATTGCAATACTTCTCCGTAATTTGATGATTTACGTTTCACGAAAAGTCAGTCGGGTCAATCGTTTGTATCGTGCCATCTCATTTGGTTATTTTCTGAAAAACTTATTGACTCAGTTCAGCGAACCGAGTTAGCGTGGGAGTGTTAACAGTCATCGGTGTGTTCAACCGGCGGTCGGCCAGAATAAACACGGTTTACTTAGTGGGCATTATATCTATCTACTACGCCAAGTAGTTTTAAATTAGTCGCAATCGTAGATCTAGACAAGCATACGCGCAGTTACAACCATGCACACATCTCTGCATGTGACGAAAGTTTTTCCGAGTTCGAAGTCATATTCAGTAATTACTTTTATCGTGGAAGGTCATTAGCGTCGTTATCTCTATTTTGTTCGGTGTGTCGGCTCCTTGATAATGATGAATGCCGTCACTTTACGTACCCACGTGTAGCGCTTTATTTTGGAAAAAAAATCCGGATTTTGAGAAGTTCATGCGTCTAATGATGCAAGCGTCAATTGATCTTCAATGTTAACGAATCACGAAAGGTACTGTGTACAAGTGTGTAAACTTCCGCATTATGTTAATTTCCTTTAGAAGGTAAATGCAGAAAATAGGTGTGTATGTGTGACAGATATCCGAGTCACTCGAGGTACTTGTTTCTTTTCAAGGTCTTTCATGAATACATAAAAAGTATAAATAGATATCTACCTCTCGGTTTCGATTAGCTTTTCTCTTGAAAAATTGTTCAGAAATTGCTAAGCTTGAAAGCACATGTTATTCTATATTCCTTACATTGAATTTGGTATAATATGTCCTTGTTGTTGTCATCATCTAATTGATCTATTTTTCAACTTCTGATAGATTTGTTCGTTTCATTTCCTTTTCTGAGCTTTCCAATTTAGTACGTATGTTATCGATATTAAGTACTTAGCAATTAACCTAGCCGTTTGACGTCAAGTTTATGCGTACTTATAAATAAGTGCTATTCGCGCTGCCATAAAATTGTAAGGTGCATGTTAATATGAAATTGCGTACATGCGAAATGTTAAAAATGTGGAAGTGGCGTGTGATTCTATTACTTGGCATTATACCAAGTAATAAAAAAATGCTTTAGATAAAATAGGTACCGCATTTGCGTAGCTATATTCTTTTATTAGCACAATTAATAGTAAGCTATTTACTGTACACGTGCTTAGCTCAAATGTATTTGAAGTTAATACCGAAGAAAATTCTCTACACCACTCCATTTCGACAATCATTTTTTATAGACAACTTTCAAAACCAAACTTCCATTTCGTTCTGGTTTTGTTATTGTTCTTCGACAGAGGAGATCGAGGAGATCTTTAGGAATGCTACTTCGTCAGTTCTGTTTTAAAAGTTAAGACAATTTCCTAGAGTTTTTTTTAATACTTCTCTTTCGCAACAAGTTAAGTATAGGTCGTTATTCAGAACATGTAATTCGTAGAAAAACTACGTGTATTGACATGGGTACATAATCTAATCTTGTAAAAACGTTGTAAAAAACTGACAGCAGTTCAAATGCGTGTGGTGATTACGTTTCTGACCTTTTCTGTCCGGAACCAGAGCGGTTGACCTTGACAATTAATTACATTATATTTTTTCTAACTAACAATGATCTAATAAAATACAATCACGAATATACCGCATAAATCAGTTGGAAACGTTTTATCTTCAAGGTTTTTTGTCAAAATAGTCAATTTCTATTCGTCTTGTGAGTTTGGATTTAGTATACCTGTCACCTTCACTTCAGAGAGTCGTTTCATTTTTCTAAAGTTTGATGTCCATTTGTTCCCAAAATCGAAGCTTTTTTTTGTTGCGAAGAAATTTGCAATATACCCCACTCTGTTTTGTTGTAGAAGCGTTACATCATCACATCCCATTACGAAAAGTATCCGATAACACAAAGATGCTGATGTTAAAAAAAGACCCATTTGATATTATGTTACTGTTTAGTTGGTGTTTCGAAATCTGGCACAGATGTTCATTTTTAATTTAAAATAGGGAATCAGTAGTGGTTGGTTCTGAACCAAATCTAATTAAATTCAATTAATGAAATTAAAAGAAGACCGATACGTATTGTACCTACATCAGAATGCATGGCGTGAATAAATCATTTGATTAGATTAGTACGACCAACCGTTCTGCATTCCGATTGTATTATCCCCTAAACGTTTTAACTTAAGTCCTTCCAGAACTCGAAGACTACACATGACCAAAGTCACTGCTGAATTGCAGTCGTGAGGTAGACAAGCAGGAAATAGATCTGTATACATGAGGTAGTCATTTCCTAGGTGTCTTTTATCGCTGAATTACAATCTGGTATCTAATTGCCTCAGCGTATCAAGATCATCAGATAGTTTAACTCCAAATCCAAATATTTCTAATTTGGCTTGTTTCCATTTGAAATTAGGACCTATAAATTTCATTATTTCTTGTGCTCTTTTTCGATAACACACGAGTCATGAATCATCATCATAGGGTCGTTAGTCCTGTGACTAGTTGGACACGCACCTCCACTCTTTCCTATCCTGAGCTAATCTTCGTATTTTCCCAAAATTTAGAACATCCCACATCTGCACACGACTATGAGATGAAAAAAAAATCAGAAAAGATGTATTCTTTGATACCCACAATAGCTCTAGCACATTGGAATTTCATAGTGTTCTAATTCCAAAATTCACTAAATCATTCAAAATTTGTAAGTTAGGATATACCATGTTGCTTAATGGGCTGGGGCAAATCTATAGTCAGACTCTAATTCAACGGTAGAAGATGAGTCGACTATTTTTTTGGCATCACGTAATGATGCTAACAAAACGGTCAAAAATTGAATATTTCGAAAGTGTTTGAAATATTAAGATTTTTGGAATTGAAGGCGTTCTGTGACAAATCTGACACCAGATTCAGATTCAGCGTCGTAACGTACATAGGTACATCGAAGTTGACATATCTAATCTTAGTTTCCATATCCACGTTGACCGATAATTGTTAGAAAAAGTAGGGAATTCTTCATACGTTTTGGTTATGGTCGTTATTTTTTCTACCCCAATTAATGAAGGAATGTTTTGAAGATATTTCCGTGCGTGTCCCTATATGCTTCAGTTGATTATGCGCTTCAATTAACTGTAACATCATTTATATCCGATGTATTCTTTTAAAATGTCAGAATTAATTATTTCTGTGAAAGATGAAAGAAAACAGTTTACCGGGCAGAATGTTAAATGCGATAAAAAAACTAGTTCTTTTACAGTATGTAGTAGTCCGTGAACTGTGTGACCTGAAGTGATCTACCTCACATCTTAACTAGCGCAACTACACATACACGTATACACACACACGCACACACAAACTTTACATTCGTATATAATAGTCGTGCAGTTGTTTCAGCGTCATGGCACACTTGATTTATTTTCAAGACCAGTTCTTGAAGCGACGGCTCTGTAAGTGTGGTTATTATAGGTTATTTATAATCTGTGCGCTATTGCTACATACACTTATGGTATACATGTATGTATATAAGCACGCACAAGATGAACGATTAACTGATGATTTATATACAACTTCCATACTTGCATCTATCAGTAATTCTGATCGCAATTGAGTGAAAGGATTTGGAATAACAGATCGAGAAATTTTCTGCGTGGCATAGTTGTAACCTTCAAATCAATCATCCTATTGCTTTGAATTATTTCTTTTGGACATATCTTAGGACACCTTCTTAGGCATAAAGAAACAGTACTTTAACAAGCGTAGAGGTAGACCTAGATTAGATTTCTGCTCGCAAATGGTTAGGGATGTGGAATGTTCTTGTAGAGAAATTTAGAAATGAGGAGATAGTGGTTAGGGATGTGGAATGATATGGTAGCAAAGGTTAGAAAGAGTAGCAGAACTGAAGGCGCTGTCGAAGTCATTAAGGAATAGACGAGATAGGTTGGTAGGATACCTCAGACATGAAGAACCAGAAACAGGATTCGTGGAAGACTTAGATTACTTCTCACAAATGGTTAAGGATGTGGAATGTTGTAGTTTTAGGAAAATGCGAAGATTTGTTCGGGGCAGGAAAAAGTGTAGGTGCGTATCCAACCAGTCTTATTAGGACTGATGATCGATCCTGTGATGATGATGATGTTTCATTACGTTCTTATTTCTCTTTTGCACGGTAGGCACGTCATATTTGAGAAATACGTGTAATTTTCATAAAACTTCCTTGAATATTTTTGAATCCATTTATCAAAGAAGAATTGACTGTGATTCACAACGACTTGTAATAATTAATTAGATTAGATTTCGAATCAGTTTGCTTATCAGTATTAAAATTGGTGTCGATATTATTATTTACGAGTTTTTAAAGACTTTGTTTATTTATAAACCATTACAGTATGGTATTAACATACCAATTAACTAATTACCCTTACGGCGACTTCACTGATGTTAGTTATTTAAAAAAAAACCAAACCGGCAGATGTGCACTTTACAACTTTACATCAATATCGTTAATTTTTAAACCTACTAATTAGAATAGAACTATGTGTAATTTAATAAGTGTAGAAGAAGTGGCTTTGCATGTACCAGCCTGTGTATGCTATATATTTTTAGAAGTAAATGAAAATGGCCTCGTTAGCGAAGGATAGATTACCTTATTATCTGTTATTCAGTATAAGATGTAATAAAAGAGGATCCTTTTACAAAATGTATTTTAGTTCTTCAATTTAGTGTGTATATCTCGACAACACTAACGTATAATAATGACATTATGCATAGCTTTCTACAGCAGCGTTGTGCTACCAAGTGAAACGAGCTGTTAGCATAATTATTATTGAAGTGGGTCAAGGCGCATACGTTGCGTACATCTTCATTTTCATTTAAGGATTTTGCAATAAATTAAATTAATACTATTTTAAGTAACAGATTAAAGTGTATTAGAAGTATTTTTAAATTATCGTGTGCGTAAACTCGCTCAACGATTGTTGAAGGGAACTCACAGAAAATGATTACAAGGAATACTTTCGCAATCGGAAGAAATGAAACGTAAAGTTTCTTACGATTACAAATTCGTGAAATCACATAGACATGTGTAGTTTAATGACGTCACGTTAGCAGACTTTAACACGTTTCAATGTACCTAATTAAAACATATTGTTAAAACAGATCATAGCAATGATATTATCAAACGCCCTGTTTGCCTGTTAATTTTCTCGATATCGCAATTACTTCACATTGATTTCTAAATCAAAAGCAAGCCCATTTTTAATTAGTTGTGAATGTGTTTGTTCTGTCTTGTTTTTAGTGTGTCATTTCGATTAAATAATGTGGATACAGTTTTATTTTCTGTTGTTACAGACTAAAAAGAACAATCCAAATCACATCAAAAGGCCAATGAATGCATTTATGGTATGGTCACAAATAGAACGTAAAAAGATATGCGAAATGCAGCCAGATATGCATAACGCTGAGATATCAAAGCGACTGGGACGTCGCTGGAAGTTGCTCAGTGAAAAGGACCGTCTACCTTTCATCGAAGAGGCTGAAAGGTTGCGATTGCTTCATCAAAAAGAATATCCAGATTACAAATACCGTCCGAGAAAAAAGACGGCGAAACCGTCCCCCAAGGCCTCGTCCAGTAAAAGAACTAAAAAGAGCACTTCCAAATTACAAAAGAACGACAACAACAACAACAACAATCACTCATTGACGGAAAAAAGATCGTACACTACATTAAGGCGTAGCAGTTCTGATTTGACGTCGAAATTAAAAGTCCGATTTGGCTTACAAAAAGAACAGCAGCCTGTAATTAAACCAACGACAGCCTTATCCATACCTTCCACAAATTTCCTGACACCGGCCAAGGTTCCGTGCAGTCCGTCATGTGACACTCCCGACTCTCCCGAAAGTGCATCACTTTACGACGAGCACCTCCTTATGGACGCTGACGTAAGCAGGATTCCGTCGTATATTAAAGAAGAGCCGGACGATAGACTAGTGCAAGATACTTCGTTAGACGATTTGGATAAAATTACTGATCTCTTACAAGTTGACGGCTTCAATTTGGAGTCCCTGTCGGGATTCGGATGCGATGCGTTTGAAACGGCTTCGAACAGTTCTGGGTCGCATTTAGATTTCTCATGTCCCCCCGAATTAACATTCGACCTGACCGGAATGGGCGGTAGTGTCTGGCACGACCAGACTTTGTTTTAAAAAAAAAATTGTTAAAATTTGAATAAGACTGTTGAATTTAGATACGGCGAGTGCCGTTTTGTATGTGCAGCCATGGAAAAAAATGGTGCTGTGTTGTTCACTTTTCGAGTACAGCTATCGTTCAGTCGGTCATGGCTGCCGTTGTATAGAAAAACAAATTTATTGTTATCAACCCCCTTTATTGATCTCATTTTGTGTTTTTTGTATTTATCTCTATCATTATAGTGCAGTTAATAATCAGTTTTAGTATCATACGTATTATACATATAGTTTCGGATTCAACCAGCTGCTAGTGCCTAGCTCTCATTACGTTCTCTTGGACCGTGGTTGACCGATGTTAATTTTGACACAACATGTTCCACCCTAACCTTACTTGGAAGGGACACAAAATCAGGCTGTGATTCATCTTTTTGATGACCAATATTTAGTTGTGAGTCCGTAGTCAGAAGTTTTATTCTTACACTTCAGTCCCAATGTTGCTTTTGGCGTTTTGACGCTAAGGGCTCGTTCACCATATAATTACTACGATAAGTAATATTTTCAGAAAAAATATTACTGCCAAAAACGGATTTGTAAGCAGCTTCGTTCGTTTCTAAGCTGGATGGATATTTTTATATTGTTGTCAAAATTTATTAAGTACTTAATTTAAGAATTTTAACTCTCAAGGCTGAAGGTTTATGAAAGCTAGGATCATCCCCTTCTCGCACGTCCACCTCTTGGGCTCTGATTATGGAGAAAACTTAATTACAACTCCGTTTCTTTTGTGAATAAGTATTATTCGACGAATTGTTCACTGTTGTCTTAGTCAAAGTTAGAGTTCAGGAAGGTGGAAATTTGAGAACATTTGCCATGAGAATGAGTGGTTTGTTGGTATAGACCGTTGATATTTTAATATATCCAAATAGTCTAGGAGTTATTGTCTATCCTGCTACAAATTGGATATTTGGTTATATTCTTGTTACGCAGTGTTAATCGTGTAAATATTGTTTATATTTGTCGGTATTCTTTTTAAGCCGCCCAGCTCCCCGAGCGGTAAGACGAAGGTAAAGTACTTGTACCAAACATAATGCTAGTTAGATTGGACGTAAAATAAAAGTCAATGCACAAACATATTAATGGAAATAAAATGCGACATTAATGTTTTTAAAAATTTTTTACTAGATTAGCAAATAATGATATTCTTATATTCATATGATATCAGAACGTCTAGCATCTCAATGTGCTTTCAGTGTGGTAGTTTGTGATTTGGGCTTGATTTAACGAGAGACTACATTTAATTTGACGAATTTTGAAACTACGATCCCTGCCTGGTACATGATGGATATAATAAATATTATCAGTGTATTTTTGTATTTCTGGTCAGAATTGTGAACTTTCCGCCACTTAACAAACAACAAGCAGACAGTCAATTTTCTGCAATTCAATGGCTCAAAGATGTTTTGCAATTGTTACTATAGGACGTGTACATATACTTGTATAAAGTTGCTCATGTAAAAATTATATTGTTTTGTTATATTGTAATCATAATATACCTAATCGGTAAAATGCAAGTTTCCATTTTTTCTAAATTTTATTTTTATTAATATCTTTGTGTTTTATAACGACAAAATTAAAAAAAAAACAGTAATTCTGACTATAATTGCACGTAAGTAGATTTACAAAAAGAAACATTAACAGTAATGTAAACCTTAAGCAGCGTATAAAACGTATTTCAAAATATTTTATCTTCTCAAAAAAAGAAAAAAACCTGCGTGAGAATTACTGTTCGATACATTTCGTCTTTTTTTTTTTAATTTTTACGTACTTATTATCTACTTTACAAAACACTTACGCGTTTATTTATTAGTTAATATAAACCATGTTTTTATATTGATAACGGTCCAGCAAATTATAATTATAATGTTTGAGCACATAAGAAAAAACAGGAATTAATAAACGAATATGAATTTAGCAATATACTTGAGATGATAATGACTTATTTGTAAATCCTATGTAATATATTCATATTATATATTTGAAGTTGCTGAAGATTACAGTGTGTACATTTTGTATTGTAGTTGCTGTTTATAACTATATTATTACATGGCCAATAAATTGATTTTTCAAAGTGAATTATTATTTAACAGTGAACAACCAAGCGAAATTATGAAAAACGGCTTTTGATTAGTAAATGTACAAATACAAGATGTGTAACATAAGTAAAATAAGTGCCTGTGCAAAAACCGTGATTCGTAGTGAAAGATTGCAACATGAGTGTATCAAGAAGTCAGCGAAGGTAAGTGAATTGTAGGCAAGAAATTTAAGTTATTATAATATCCAATTTCAAATTCGTGAACGAACGAACCTATAGCAATGCAAAAGATTATCGCACTTACTAATCAAAGAAATTTATCATGGTCAGTATTCTTTCGATATTATCGGATCTCATCAGCACGTCGCAAAACGTAGACCAACTATACCTGCTGTTATGACACAGCGATTTATGAAATCCTATAAACATCTCGGTAAACGTCATCTGTAGTACAATGCTACATTTAGTAAATTTTACTTAGGCGGATAACCATCTTGCTGGACTGAATTAATGGTGTAACTCACCATACGTGATAGGCACGTTACCAAAATCGAATAAAGAAGTTCATTCTGTCGAAAATGCCAGACGCGATCTTTCGGTCTTGTTGGATCACATCAGCTCATCGCAAACAGCTTCGACAGAACACAGACGAACTCTACCTATACTCCGTATCACGTTAAAGTGACGGCTCAAGTAATAAAACGTCTACCTGGGATTACAAATACAATACTACGGCATCATTCAAACTAAACACGTTTTATATTCAGTTAACCACTTGTGCCTTCTCTTGTATCGAAACCTAAACGGAGGTTCTACGACACATTTTGTCGAATTTCAGCTAGAAAAAGAGACTCACTAAGAACTATTGTCCCTTAAAATTGTCACTAGATAAAATTTGGACCGTCGTTTTGTTGGGTGCCGATGTCGATCATAGTACGCTAATAAATCTTTTAATTGCCTGAGCCGCTGTTTTATGTGATACGGACTTTGCTGCCTTGTCACAGTGTTGAATTTCACTAAATGTAACATAAATGTACTATAGATGGCGTTTACCGTGCTGTTTGCAGGATTTCGCATTACTTATTGATGTATACCCCAGGACTGTAGACAGACTGTAGTAAGGACAAACTCGGAAAGACTCGGACTATATTACGAATGTTTAAAAAATAATAAGTAATAATAGAAATTAAATCCGAACTAATAAAACTAAAGTAAGGTGCAAGAGACTGAACCTTAAAAGGAATAAAGTTATGAATTATCGGTCGGCGTACTGATTTTTGTGACACTGTTCCAGGTAGTTTAAAAGTTATCAGAGAACATTAATTTATATTCGTTTATATACAATTTTGGAATCATTGATAGTAGCCACAGTTAGGAAAAAATTGTATTAGTTACGATTGACTATAATAATTTATTGCAAGTTTAGAAAAAAATAATGTAAGCAATGTCGTCTGTTTAAGATGCTGAAAAAATTGGAATGACCAATTCGTAGAAAGTGCATTTTTCAACTTCAACATCCCTAACTGAAAGATGTATGTGAGCTCGGGTAAATTATTCACTGTCGTCTCTTCTTTCACAATAGAATCGTTACCGAACTGCTAGACGTTCAATTCCTTTCAGTTAAACTGCTCCCTTTAGAAATCTCTATCGCAGCTTGAGGAAAATAAAACTAAATGAACTGCAATGCGTCTCGTAAAACACCAATGAAATAGTTTGTATAGAGCTTTCGATTGTCCACCGAAATAGAATAGTGAAGAAACTGCACGTTAACAACAAAAAAGAAAGAAATTTAATAAACACGGCAAACTCTCCTATTGACAATTCAAAGAACATAAGTTTCCTTGCAGAAGTTTCTCAAGAATCCTCATTTTCTGCTAACTTTGGAAGATAAAAGCATCTTACAGAAGCTAGTATATAAGTAAATAAAAATCCGAAAGGTTCTAGTGAAAAAAATGCTGCTACATAACATAAAAACGATAATTGTTACCTAATTATTGAAAAATTAATAGAATATACTCAAAGTAGTTTTAGTTAAAGCTACCCAACAAAACCTACCTCCAATATCTTTAGATAATCCTATCTAGCAACGACATGGAGAGACATATATTGCAGAATGGTAGTAAAACGTCATTACGGAGTTTTTTCGAAATTTTTTCATTGATAGTTTAGAAATTAGACGCTTTAATTTTAGGAGATTTATCCAAAGCAACTTAATCGAATTGCACAGTAAAAAACTTTATTAGTAGGTACACTTTTCATTTTACAGGAGTTAAGAATTATTTTACCAAATACTGAATTGGTAAAGTCTTTCGGGGTCAGTAAGAGAACCGATACTGTCGTGATTCGAGTTTAACGGCCTTCGAAGGTTGGAGTGCTTCCTGACGTTTCGCTAGCACGAGTAGTGATCATCAGAGGCCCTGCCGTCGGTAGTCTGCATCCAGCATCGGAGGTGAAAAGACCTCTGAAGGAGCTCGCCACTCGTGCTAGCGAAATGTTAAGAAGCAATTCCTACCGACAACCGCCTTTAGACCCGACTCTTCATCATGTATCATCAATCTACATCCATATACCCATGCAATCTGAATAGGTGTATAAGTGAGAGGATGTGAGAACTGTCGTAATATGTACCTAGATGGGCACACAGACTGATCGAAAATACTTATAAAGTGTTATATGGTTAAGAAAGTAAACGGTTAAAATGTTATAGAGATGGTGGTGAGACACTATTAAAAATAGCAAATACAACTTCAACTTCACCGTAAAAGATTAATCTAATAATGCCCAACACGGTGGTATTGCACCATTTCTCAACTGTAGGGTCTCGATCAGTGATATGCATGAGCGTTTGCAATGTATTAAATAAAGAAATATGTAATTTTAAAACAAGTTTCGTTCGAAATACGAGGGTGGATTGATAAGTTTCCGGCCTAACCAAGAGATGACGCCACTAGGCCTACCTTGAGGTGACATTCTATAGTACCATCCTTGGATAGCTTGTAGCTATAGTTTCAGCCCGATCTCCTTGCTAGTGTAGGTTTGACAGCACGCTGAACAAGACGCCTCTGTGGTTTTCGTAAAAATGGAAAAGCAGGAAAATCGTGCTGTCATCAAATACTTTTATTTGAAGGGGTTAACGCCGAAGGAAATTAAAAAAGAGATGGACTCAACACTGGGGACATCCTCCCCGTCATATTCAACCGTTAAGCAGTGGGTTTCCGAGTTTAAAAAGGGTCGTGTGAGCACCTCTGATGGGCCTCGCTCAGGACGCCCCGTTGAGGTCACAACTCCAGATATGATCGAAAAAATTCATCAAATAGTGCTGGGAGACCGCAGATTGAAAGTGCGTGAGATAGCTGAGACCTGTAAGATGTCATATGAACGTGTGCAACATATTTTGCACCAACATTTGCATATGGAAAAGCTCTGTGCAAGATGGGTGCCGCGTTTGCTAACAGTCGACCAAAAATTGATTCGAAAAAACATTTCTACCGCAAATTTGTCATTGTATAAGCGTAATCCAAGCGAATTTTTGCGTCGATTCGTAACCGTTGACGAAACGTGGGTCCACCACTACACTCCTGAAACCAAAGAACAGTCTAAACAGTGGATTGGACCAGGGGAACCAACTCCAAAGAAGGCAAAAACAATTTTTTCGGCGAACAAGGTTATGGCTACTGTTTTTTGGGATGCAAGAGGTATTATATACATTGATTACCTTGCAAAGGGTAATACTATCACTGGTCAATACTACGCAGACTTATTGCAACGTTTGAGCCACGAGGTGAAAATTAAACGACCTCATCTGGCGAAGAAAAAAATCTTGTTTCATCACGATAACGCACCAGCGCACACGTCAATCGTTGCGACGGCTAAAATCAACGATCTAAAGTTTGAATTGATGCCGCACCCTCCTTACTCTCCAGACCTAGCCCCGAGTGACTATTTTCTGTTCCCTAATCTCAAAAAATGGCTTGGCGGTAAGAGATTTGCGGACAATGAAGAAGTAATCGAAGCTGTAAATGGTTATTTTGAGGAGCTTGACGAATCAGTCTATAGAGATGGCATTAATAGACTGGAACACCGCTATGAGAAATGTATCAGCCTTGGAGGAGATTATGTTGAGAAATAAAAAAAAAAAATTTTTAAAAACCTTGTTTTTCTTGGTCAGGCCGGAAACTTATCAATCCACCCTCGTATATGTATAGTAAGAACAGTACCTAGATGGAATAAACTAGCAAAATTCAATTTAAACTACCAAAAAATTGAATTTTAACCCGATAAAATTAAATTCCTTCCCGTCATCATAAAGTCGTTAATCTAAAAATTGGTTGGACACGCACCTCCACTCTTTCCTATCCTGAGCTAATCTTCGCATTTCCCTTAAACTAGAACAACTCACATCCCTAACTATTTGCGAACATTAATTTAATCTAGGTCTACCTCTACTCCTCTTAACTCCTGTTTATGCCTCTAATATGTCTCTGACTAGACCTTTATGCCTGTGAAGGTGTCCTACCAACCTATCTGGCTTATTTTTTATTGATTTCCATTGCGCCCTCTGTTCTCGTATTCCTTCTAATAACTCTTCATTTCTACCTTTTTCTATCCACGGTATCCTCATCATTCGCCTTTAATACCACTTTTTGAGCACTTCTAAGCTTTTCCTTTCCGCCGTGCCCACCGTCCATGTTTCGAACCCGTACAGCATTGCGTTCCCAACATACTCCTTTAACAATCCTTTTCGAATTTCTAAATTAACCGTTCAGGAGCATAGAAGTGAGTTCTTTTTATTGAAGGTGACTGGACCCTGCGTTATCATCCGCTTTATATCCCTACTACTCCTTGCGTCCTAATTTATCTGACTTCCTAGATACCTAAAATCAGCTACCTCTTCTATATTCGCTCTTATCCTATTTTTTCTTTCCTTATTTTAATACAATTCCATTTTTTCCTTCTTGCTAAATTTCTGCCTAACAAATAATTAAAGATTATTCCCAGGTATGTATCTAGTAGCAATATGACAAGTCTTTTTTTAC